GAAGGAAGGAAGGAAGGAAGGAAGGAAGGAAGGAAGGAAGGAAGGAAGGAAGGAAGGAAGGAAGGAAGAGAGAGAGAGAAAGAAAGAAAGAGAGAGAAAGAAAAAAAGAGAAAAGAAAAAAGTAGCATTCCTCCAACTCCTCCAAGTCAAAAATATTCCAGTAATACTCATCTTAAAGCTTTCTGGTGAGGAATAAATGAGCTCATACGTAAAATATTTATCACAGCGCCTAGCATACAGAGTGAGCATTTGATAAATTGTTATTATTGATCAAATTTTGAAAAAACACTGATTTTAAAAATGAATGACAAATTATTCTCTACTATAAACACCGATCTAAATATAATGCCTTAAGCTACAAAAGAATATTTTCTTAGAATTTAAAAAATTTCCTAATTAAAAAAAAAAATTACCACCATAATAATTATATCAAGAAGTATTTTCGTTAACTATAAAGGTAAATCTTATCTGAACCAGCTCTTCATTAATACTCTCCGTCATTTAACAAGAAGTAACTTTTTTTTTTTTTTTGAGACAGAGTTTCTCGCTCTTGTTGCCCAGGCTGGAGTGCAATGGCGCAATCTCGGCTCACTACAGCCTCTGCCCCAGGTTCAAGCAATTCTCTTGCCTCAGCCTCTGGAGTAGCTGGGATTACAGCATGAGCCACTACACCCAGCTAATTTTGTATTTTTAGTAGAGACAGGGTTTCTCCATGTTAGTCAGGCTGGTCTCAAACTCCCGACCTCAGGTGATCTGCCCACCTTGGCCTCCCAAAGTGCTGGGATTACAGGAGTGAGCCACTGGGCCAGCCCAGGTAACCCTTTAACAGTGGTTTATGTATACTATTTCCTAGTTCTATTAGTCATTAAGATTTTATAACACTTAAAAAATAAAATTTATGAAAAAAGCAAGTTTTATTGGTTTCTGCTTTTTTGTTTTTTTTTTTTTTTTGAGGCAGGGTCTCATTCTATCACCTAGGCTGGAGTGCAATGGCATAATTTCAGCTCACAGAAACCTCTGCCTCCTGGGTTCAAGCGATCCTCTGACCTCAGTCTCCTGGGTAGCTGGGACCATAGGCACAAGCCACCACACCTGACTAATTTTTTTTTCTTTTGTCTTTTTTTTGTTTACCTGACTAATTTTTATATTTTTTGGTAGAGATGGGGTTTTAGCATGTTGCCCAGGCTGGTCTCAAACCCCTAGGCTCAAGTGATCCACCCGTCTCTACCTCCCAAAGTGCTGGGATTACAGGTGTGAGCTACCATGCCCAGCCAAAGCAAGCTGTTTAAACAAAAAGTCACCAACTAGTAAATCAAGGGCCAAATTAGATACAGAGACATGTTTTCTGTGAGCCATACACGTTTTGTTTTGTTTTTTAATTAATTACCAAGATTTAACGTTCTTTTAAAATCCAGATTCACAGCTTCCTATAAGAAACAGAATCTGGGAATACTGGACTCATGACTATAATCAGCTAGAGCTAAGTCAAAGATGCCCCCCAGCCCTTGTCCCACTCTCCAACTGGGCGTAATCTCAATCCTGCCCACATTAGCCTTTTTAACCTTCCTGGCCTTTGTAAACATTTGAATCTGCAATTTATTTTTTTTTTTTGAGATGGAGTCTCACTCTATCACCCAGGCTGGACTGCAGTGGCGCAATCTCAGCTCCTGCAGCCTTCACCTCTCCAGTTCAAGCAATTCTCCTGGCTCGGCCTCCCAAATAGCTCGGATTATAGGCATGCGCTACCTCGCCTGGCTAATTTTTTGTATTTTTAGTAGAAATACAAAAATGCAATGGGGTTTTGCCATGCTGCTCAGGCTGATCTCTAATTCCTGAGCTCAGGCAATCCACCCACTTTGGCATCCCAAAGTGCTAGGATTACAGACGCGAGCTACCACACCCAGCCTGAATCTGTAACTTTTAATGCACACATTAGGCTTGTTTTTCTAACCTGGAGTTTCGGAAGAATTGGACAATGGAGCAGATGCTTCAGCTAAGGCAGCTAATGTAGCTAATACTGATGTAGAAGAGTTTCCAAACTGAACAGCAGATACACCCGTTTCATCTGCAAGAAAAAAGAAAATAGATTTGAATTTCTAAGGAGCTTAATCCAATGCATATTTCTGATATTCTATTTATCTTATTCAACTCTTAAACAAAGCTTGGATAGCATTAGTTTTTGAAAGGTAATACTGTGGTAAATTTTGCAATATCACCTTTCTTCAGATTGCTTTGTCTCATAAATATTTGTTTTTCTGTCAGTTATACCAAAGAAAACCAAGGTGGCTGGTATAATCTTACCCTTGTTCTCCAAGTCCTTTCTTAAAAGGATGTATACCTACTAAAGCATAAAATCCCAACACCTATCCTATATGCATCTCAATACCTGTTGCCTTGGATGAATTTTCTGAAGATACCAGACCTGTTAGGTTCACCACCCCTCCAGGTCCAATGATAAACTGTGGTGTTGCAGCATGTATTGTCACAGTGTCAGGACTCTCTGGATTTGTGTTGATTTGGTTCTGCATAGCAATCTAGGGGACAAATCACCACAGTGTTTTCAGAATTATAACCAGAACACAAATTCCCCATATAATACAAACACACATATAAAGGAATATTCTCTAAGAAGAATCACACAGTACAAGTGGAAATGTTTGTCTCAGGTCCCCTCAGAGTGTAGTGGCATACCAAGGGTACATATTTATATCCTGAGTCCCCCTCTTAGGGAAAGTAGCAAAATCCTGGGAGAGGAGAAATGAGTATCTAAAAGGTGTTTATAGAACACAGAACAACTTTGACATTAAGCCAGCTGAGGTGGCAGGTGCCTGTAATCCCAGCTACTCAGGAGGCTGAGGCAGGAGGAGTGCTTAAGCCCAGGAGTTTGAGACCACACGGGCAACATAGTGAGATCTCCATCTCAAAAAAAAACCAAAACACAAACAAACAAAAAAAAAACATTGCTGCCCTGTAGCTATAGGAATTTAATTATTTCTTCTACATATGGCAATACATAATACCACACATACAAATTACTTCTCAATTACTTGCTCCCCATCTTCAACTCCAACCCCTAAACTACACAACTCCAACCCCCAAACTGCACTCCTAGGAGTAAAAGGAATGGAAAGAGTCATGGTAGAATTCATTTTCCTGAAATAAAACATCTTTTAAGTAACTAGTGGAAGCTCAAAGGAGTCAGTCTTAGAAGAGTTCTGGCCAGTTGTGGTGGCTCATGCCTATAATCTCAGCACTTTGGGAGGCCAAAGCGGGCAGATCACAGGGTCAGGAGTTTAAGACCAGCCTGGGTAACATGACAAAACCCCATCTCTACTAAAAATACAAAAATTAGCCAGGTGTGATGCTGCCAGCCTGTAATCCCTGCTACTTGGGAGGCTGAGGCAGGAGAATTGCTTGAAACCGGAAGGTAGAGATTGCAGTGGGCAGAGATCACACCACTGTACTCCAGCCTAGGCAAAAAGAGCAAAACTCCGTCTCAAAAAAAAAGAAGAGAAAAGAAGAGTTCTAATGCTGGGAACAAGAACAAGCAGATAGGAAAGAAGAGGTATTAATTAAAAAAGATAATTTATATTATGTCATCTGGCTGAAAATAAGAGAAGTAATGTTGGTTACTAGAAAAACCTGCCCAACGGATCACAAACTCAAGAGATCAAGACCATCCTAGCCAACTTGGGGAAACCCCGTCTAAAAAACAAAAGAAAAACCTGTCCCAAAGCCAAAAACAACAGATCTTTTTGAGGATGCTGAAAATCAGACTGCATTAAAACGCAACAAAAATAATAGAATAAGGTCGGGGGTTGGCGGTGGCTCACGCCTGTAATCCTAGCACTTTGGGAGGCCAAGGCGGGTGGACTGCCTGAGCTCAGGAGTTCAACACCAGCTTGGGCAACACAGTGAAACCCCATGTCTACTAAAAATACGAAAAATTAGCTGGGTCTGGCAGCGTGCACCTGTAGTCCCAGCTATTCAGGAGGCTGAGGCAGGACAATTACTTGAACCCAGGAGGCAGAGGTTGCAGTGAACCGAGATTGTGCCACTGCACTCCAGCCTGGGCAACAGAGCGAGACTCTGGCTCAAAACACACACACACACACACACCACACACACATACACACGCGCGCACGCGCGCGCACATCTAAAGGAAAATCACAGAAAGTAATCATCTTATCTAATGTTAATGAAAAGACTGTGGCCTTATAATCGGGAAAATGAATAGTAATAAAGAAGAAGTGAAAGAGAAAAGGCCTGTCCAAAATAACAGTCCAACATGGAAGGCTACAAACTAAATAGTTTAAATAATCCACAACATAAGAGATCCTACTACCAATAAAGCTTCTTTTTCTTTATTTTCTTAAATTAAAAGCCAAAAGTTACCTGTAATATCTCTGCTAAATCTTCATTTCCATTGTCTATTGAAATATCAAATGCAGTTTTACAAAATTTACTTTGTGTGTGTACATCAGCACCATATTTGATTAAAAGTTCCACCACCTCTTGATGATTGTGTTCTGTGGCCCAATGGAGAGCTGTCATCTTTAACATGTCTTTTGCATTGACATCAGCACCATGCTACAAAAATATTTCAAAGAGATTACTAAGATATGAAACATAATATAAAGAATTCCTGATATGAAACTATTACTTCTGTGCTTTAAAGCAAGAACGAATAACATAATCAATTCTTTATTTATATATGTTACATACATGTTCCAGGCCAGGTGCAGTGGCTCATGCCTATAATCCCAGCACTTTGGAAGTCCAAGGCAGTTGGATTACCTGAGCTCAGGAGTTTGAAACGAGCCTGAGCAACATGGCAAGACCCCATGTCTACAATACAAAAAATACAACAATTAAGGGCTGGCTCACCCCTATAATCCCAGCACTCTGGGAAGCCAAGGCAGGCAAATCACTTGAGCTTAGGAGTTGGAGACCAGCCTGATCAACATGGTGAAACCTGATCGCTACTAAAAATACAAAAATTAGCCAGGCATGGTGACACACATCTGTAATCCCAGCTACAGGGGAGACTGAGGCAGAAGAATCGCTGGAACCCGGGAGGCAGAGGTTGCAGTAAGCCAAGATCACACCACTGCATTCCAGCCTGGGCAACAGAGCGAGACTTGTCTCAAAAGAAAAAAAAAAAAAAATACAAAAAATTAGCTGGGTGTGGTGGCACACACCTGTGGTCCCAGCTACTCAGGAGGCTCAGGTGGGAGGGTTGCTTGCACCTGGAAGGCAGAGGTTGCAATAAGCTAAGATCATGCCACTGCACTCCAACCTGAGTGACAGAGTGAGAGACTATCTCAGGGGAAAAAAAAAAAAAAAAAACACACACACACACACACACACACACACACATCCTTTGCTTTCAAAACCAGTGCACCCCAGAAAAAGTAAAAATAAATTATAGACAGGGGAAAAAAAAAGGTGCAACATGAAGAATTAAAAGAAAGCTATCTACAGATATACTGTCCAATATGATAGCCAACAGACACATGTAGTTATTGAGCATTTGAAATGTTGCTAGCCAGAACAGAGATATGCTATATGTAGAAATACACATTGAAAAATACAGAAAAAATAAAACGTAATATATCTCATTAATAATTTTTATACTGAACAGGGAGTAGTGGCTCATGCCTATAATCCCAGCACTCTGGGAGGTCAGGAGTTCAAGACCAGCCTGACCAACATAGTGAAACCGCATCTCTACGAAAAACACAAAAATAACCGGGCATGGTAGTGGGCGCCTGTAATCCCAGCTACTTGGGAGGCTGAAGCAGGAGAACTGCTTGAACCCGGGAGGCGGAGGTTGCTATGAGCCAAGATCATGCCACTGCACTCCAGCCTGGGCAACAAAGCTAGACTCCGTCTCAGAAAAAAATAATAATAATTTTTATACTGATTTCATGTTGAAATGATATTAATCTTTGTATAGATTGGGTTAAATAAAATATAAAATTAGAATTACTTTATAAATGTGGCTACTAGAATATTTAGAATCACAGTATATGGTGATTTGCATTTATGGCTTCCATTTTATTTCTTTTGGATAGGCTGATGTAGAGGCCAGGATAAGAAGGATAAAGCAGAACATCTATCACTCTACATTTCAGAATTTTCTACGCCACTCTTAGGCATTTAGATGATTATAGAAAAATCCCCATTTATATTATTTGCTATTATGTTTGTTAATCATTCAAGCCTACTGTTCTCCCTTCCATGAATTGTGACTATAAGACAAAGCTGTAGTTCCTCACCATAGGGTAGACCAAGGTCCAAGAAATCAATTAGTTGACTTAACTAAGAATATACCTAAAGGAAGTTTTGAAATGAAAACTGTAAGATAATTTTCATTTAATCGGCTTATACACACAAAAAATGAAATACTACAGGTAAAATACTAAGTAGGCATTTAACAAAAACTAGTTCCCTCTCCTTCTTATAAAACTGTAAAGTGCTCGGGGGCTTACTTTTAAAAGCAAAGTGCATAAAGAGAACACACACCTTAAGTAAAACCTCTACTATGCTGGCATGGCCCTCAGAAGCTGCCATATGTAATGGTGTTCGGTCCACTTTGGTTCTGGCATCTCTACTTACACCAGCTCGGAGCAGTACCTCTGTGGTAGAATAATGACCATACTGTGCTGCTAGATGAAGTGGAGAAGTTCCCAGCTGTACCACAGAAAAAAAAAATCCATATTTACCATTATTGTTAGCACACTTCTGTTTACATAGTAAACAAATTTTCTTTATATTATCTGTTTACATAACTCAAAACTCAAAAGAAATGACTTGATTCATGCTTATCACATCCTCTTCATAGACTCTCTGAAGAATTACCAAACATTCTCAATGAAGAAGAAAATCCATTATTTCTTTTAATTCAAACTTTCTTTCATCATTTTTTTAAATCAGATAAGCTGCCGAAATAAAATTAATTTCATTAGAAATTAGAGATAGAGGCAGTGCACAGTGGCTCACAAAACCTGTAATCCCAGCACTTTGGGAGGCCGAGGCAGGTGAATCCCTTGAGGTCAGGAGTTCAAGACCAGCCTGGCCAACATGGTGAAACTCTGTTTCTATTAAAAATATAGAAATTACCCGGGCATGGTGGCACATGCCTGTAATCCTAGCTATTTGGAAGGCCAAGGCAGCAGAATCGCTTGAACCCGAGATGCAAAAGTTGCAGTGAGCAGAGATCGTGCCACTGCACTCCAGCCTCGGTCAGAGCAAGACTTTGTCGAAAGAAAAAAAGGAAGGAAAGAAGAAAGAAAAGAAAAGAGAAAAGAAAGAGAGAAAAAGAGAGAGGGAGAGAGAAAGAAAGAAAGAGAGAGAGAAAGAAATAAATAAATTAGAGTATGAGAGATTTTTCTGTGTATTAGAATGTTCTTCATACCAATCACATAAAACTTGCTAAGTTAACTTCATCTGTAAAATTCATATCAAATAAATGTAACAGTATATATTTTTACTTTAAGTGGATCAAAATTGCTTTGTAGGACTTAAAATATTAATGTATTAAAACATCTCAGTGATCTTTTTAAAGGGATTTTTTTCAAAGGAAAATTCTTAGGTCCACTTGCCAAAGCTGAATTAGAACAAAACCAAAACAGTGCCCAATTCTCCTGAAATTGGCTCCACGTCATTAAATAGACATCCGCAATACATAAAGGGAGTACTAAAATATGAGGCAAGGAAGATTAAGTTATATCACATGCATTTAAAGGCATAGAAAATCCCTACAACTCTCTGATTACCATGTCACTTGATATTCCAAAGAACTAAGATATTTCCCTAGAACATGAAATTTGCTAATTTGGACTAAGGAAATTTACACATATAAATAGTTTACTATGTTATGAAGAGATTAAGTGAGATATATGTACAAAGGTCCTTAGTCCTATCTCTCCCTCCCTCCCTAACCCCTCCCATATATTTTTATATAGATCTATATCTATATATAGATATATACATAAATACATATCTATATCTATATATAGATATATACATAAATACATATATATTTTAAATACATATAGATAGATAGATAGATAGATAGATAGATACAGATATATAGATTTTTTTTTCTTTTTAAATTAGAGACAGGGCCTCACTGTGTTGCCCAGGCTGGGGTGCAATGGCTATTCACACGTACAATTATCACGCACTACAGCTTTGAACTGCTGGGCTCAAGCAATCTGTCCACCTCAGTCTCCAGAGTAGCTGGGACTATAGGCACACGCCAACAAACCCAGATAAACCTTACATTTTTAAGGGAAGGTCATCCTAGCAGATCAAAGAAGATCCTTAAACAATCCTTTCTTTCTCCAGGCTTTTTCAATTTTTCTATAATTAGCGCTTTCTACACTCTTAAATTTCAGTCTTTAATGAAAATATCTCAACAGCCCATTTACCAACCAGGAGTTTTGCTCAGCTTGACATTAGGATCTACTTTAGTATTTTCGTCTTCTTAGACCTTCCCTTCTTGGTTATTGATGCAAAACATATACACATATATGAAAGATTTGTTTGTTTTTTTCTGAAACACAGCTTCACTCTAGCACTCAGGCTAAAGTACTCTGAGGGGATTATAGCTCACTGTTACCTTCAAAGTCCTGAGCTCAAGCAAGCCTCCTCCCTCAGCCTCCTAAAGTGCTGGGATTATGGATGTGAGTCACCACACCTGGCTATGTAGCTTTTGGGTTTTTTTTTCTTAATTCATGTTTTTAGAGACAGGTTCTTGCTCTGTTGCCCAGGCTAGAGCGCAAAGGAGGAACTGTAGCTCACTGTAACCTCTAACTCCTAGGCTCAAGCAATCTTCCCATCTCAGCTTCTAAAGTAGCTAAAACTACAGGCTAAGCCACCAAGACTAGCTATTTTTTTGTCCACCCCCCCTTTTTTTTTTGAGATGGGGTCTCACTATGTTGCCCATGCTGGTCTTGAATTTCTGGTCTTGAATTTCTGGTCTCAAGTAATCCGCCAGCTCAGCCTCTCAAAGTGCTGGGATTACGAGCGTAAGCCACTGTGCTTGGCCGATATATGTAGTTTAAAGAAAAATAATAAGGCAAACACCTGTGAATCAACACCACAGTCTAGAAATAAAACATTGCCAGTAATTTAAATCTGGCCAGGTGCCATGGCTCATGCCTATAAACCCAGCATTTTGGAAGACCAAGACAGTTGGATCACCTGAGGTCAGGAGTTTGAGAGCCTGACCAACATGGTGAAATCCCATGTACTAAAAATAAAAAAATTAGCCGGGTGAGATGGTAAGTGCCTGTAATCTTAGCTACTTGGAAGGCTGAGGCAGGAGAACTGTTTGAACCTGGGAGACAGAGGTTGCAGTGAGCCAAGATCAAGCTACTGCACTCCAGCCTGGGCAACACAGCAAGAGTCTGTCTCAAAAATATTTAAAAAAAAAAAAAAAAACAAAAAACTTCCCATGTGCCACTCCCTAATCACAAGCCCCACACCAGCCCCAGTGGAAACTAATATTTTGAATTTTGCGGCAAGCATTTCTTTGTTTTCTTTATATCACTTATATCTCCCTAAATAATATACTTTGATTTTGCCTGCGTTTTATTTAAATAGAATCATACTGCATGCATTTTTCTGTCACGTGCCTTGTTTTGCTTGGTATTAAATTCATGAGATTCACCATATTAATAAATATAAGTACAGCTTACTATATTCTGTGTTCTACAATATTCCACTGAATGAGTAAACCACAATTAATTTACCCAATCTAATCTACTGATCAACATTTGGGTTGTTTCTAGTTTGTTATTAAGAATAATGTTGCTGCTAAATACAGTAGTCTTATACGTGTTTCAAGCAGATGAACAAGTTTCTCTTGGGAATATTCTTAGAAGTTCAACTGCTACATCACACAGTATGCACATCTTCAAATTTGCCACATGCTGCCAAACTGTCTTCCAAAACGATTATAACAATTCCATACTTCCACCAAAATTATGTGATTCTTCCTACCATCTCCTCACCAAGCTATTCAACTGTTTTTGTTAATCTGATGGATATATAATAGTTCATAATTTTACTTTGCATTTGTCCAAATGTTAATGTAGCTGAGTATCTTTTCATGTTTATTGCTCAAACTTTCTCCTTGGTAAAGTACCACATCAAGTCAGTCTTCTATTGCCTTGTCTTTTTATTGCTGACTCATAGAAATTCCTTATGTATTTGGATACTAATCCTTCTTAAGATCTTTTTGTCTTTGGGAGTCCGAGGTAGATCATGAGGTCAAGAGTTCGAGACCAGTCCGGCCAACAAAGTGAAACGCCATCTCTACTAAAAATACAAAAAAATAGCTGGGCATGGTAGTAGGCACCTGTAATCCTAGCTACTCAGGAGGCAGAGGCAGGAGAATCACTTGAACCTGGGACATGGAGGTTGCAGTGAGCCAAGAACATGTCATTGCACTCCAGCCCAGCCAACAGTGCAAGACTCTATCTCAAAACAAAACAAAAAAAGGTCTTTTTGTCTTGAGGTACTACAGCATCATTATGATGCATCTAGATATGGATTAGTTTTTAAATTGATCCTGCTGGAGATTTGTTAGGCTACTCAAATCTGTGGGCTGCCATCTTTTATCAGTTCTGGAAAATTCTCAGCAGTTACCTCTTCAAATTATTTCATCCGTATTTTTGCTCTTTTTGTGGATCTATGATCAGATGTTAGACTTTTTCACATGATCCTTCATGACTCTTAACATCTGTTTTACATCTTCTGTCTATTTTTATCTGTGTTATAGTCTGGATCTTTTTTCTTATCTTTCAGCTTACTAATTTTCTCTTTACCTGTTTCTAATCTGTTATTAAAATCTTATCTCAAGTCCTTATAGGTCTGCTTCTGTTGTCAGTTGTTTTACCAGGTTATTGTTCAAACTGCCATGTGTTCGTGTGTTTAGTTATTTCTGACTGCTCACTTTCCTCTGAATTTCATCTGTGGATATGAAGCCTGGGATGAAGGCAGGTTCCTCCAGAGAAGATATTCATTTGCTTCTGTCAGGAATCTGGGATAATCCCTAGTCCAAAGATCACTTCAAATTCATTTCTCAATTTACAGCTTTTTAAACTAAACAAGTTTTTTTTTCTTTTTTTCTTTTTTGAGACAGAGTCTCACTCTGTCACCCAGGCCGGAGTACAGTGGCCCGATCTCAGATCACTGCAACGTTCACCTTCCAGGTTCAAGTGATTCTCCTGCCTCAGCCTCCCGTGTAGCTGGGATTACAGGCGAGTGCCACCATGCCCAGCTAATTTTTTGTATTTTTAGTAAAGACAAGGTTTCACCATGTTGGTCAGGCTGGTCGAGAACTCCTGACCTCGTGATCCACCTGCCTCAGCCTCTCAAAGTGATGGGATGACAGGCATGAGCCATCACACCTGGCCTGACTACACAAATATTTATGAGTTCAGGCTGCAAGTATGTACAAGGGATGCCTTATGATTCCAAATTGTCACTACCAATTTTTTTTCCTCTCTCCATTTGATGTCTTTGTTCACATCAGCTCATTTTCTTTGCAGCATCAAGGCAACAGGGGCAGGTAGCAGAAGGGACAGGGTATTTCTGCTTTACCCTTACATTGTAGGTGCAGCTCTTTGGGATTCCAGAATTATGAGATCTCCTATTAGACTTCTCTCCATAAACAGTCTCAGGTCTTTATCTTTAGTACCCCAAGCCAGTGAGGTGGAAAAAAACACCAGGCAAATGTGAGTTCACCTAGTGTTCTTAGGGTAAAATTTCTCTGGGTTCTAGCCTTCACTTGGTTTTACAGGTTGATAACCTCTTTCTTTCTAACTCAGAAGTGTACTTAAGGAAGATTTTCCTTAAAATATTTAATCAAAAAGTCTTTATTCTTTAAAAATACAGGTTGAAACATGTATGGATGAAATGATATAGTCCCTGGAATTTGCTTCAAAATAATACAGAACAAAAAATCATACAGTAGATGGAGTTACAGAGCAAACAAGAATCATCATAATTTGATAATTTTTGAAGTTGGGTAAAGGGTATTACAGGGGTTGATATATATTTGAAATTTTCCATATTAAAAAATTTTTGTTTTTCATGAAAAATTTAAAAATAGCATGAAACAAAGGAAGGCAAAAACAATAAAATCAAAAATCTGGAATTTTCAGTTGCTACCAATAGGAGGGTTAATTCACATTCCTAGCATTCCAAATCCCTAAGACAATACTTTTATTTGTCCCCAGAATTAAAGAGTTATGTTTTTTGCCTTCCCCACAACTGACTTCTTTTTATAGTTGTCAAGATCTCATTCCCATTCCTTTCTTCCTCTTTGGTCATATTTGCAATAGTTTTACAAGTAACAACTGAAACATAAACTTTTTTTTTTTTTAGGAGCAGCTATAACACTAACTCCAATCTTTATCAGTATCTTTCTTCATTATACATTCTACCTGTGCTATTTATAAGACCTTTAAATTAAACCCCAAATAGATACATTTTTATATTCATGCCACATTAATGTATTCCAAAGCTTGAAAGAAAAACTCTTCTGTGGATGAAATATTTGGATAAGGTTGCCTAATATCAAAGAAAATAATATGAACTACTTCTTTTAACAAAGGTATAATTCTAAAATAATAAACACATTTGCAAAAAATAATTTTTTTGCCACTCATAAACACAATACTGACTACATTTTTCTCTGGAAAAACTCAAAAATGAGAAGAAGAAAAAAACACACACAATATTAAAATAATTCTTTACCCAGTCTGTAGTAAAAGGAGCTCCATTTGCCATCAAAATACGAACTTCGTCATCTTGACCTGCTCGTGCCGCTTCTAAAAGCTTCTTTCCCAAATCTACCAGGGACATCTAAATAAAAAATAGATGAATTGAACATCAAAATCTCCATTTATACTTTATGACATGGCATTTTCCCTTCCTGTCTTTATTAATAAGTGAATTCTCAATTATCCCTTCAAAAGAGTGTATTATGTTTAATTTTAAATTACAGATCATAGAAAAGCAATTTATATTTGAATTTTTGAATCTATTTTCCTTTCTCATTAAGTTTTTACTTAGAATAAAAGTTTAAATTCTCCAAATATACCTGCTAAAAGACAGAATAGGTAAGGAGCAGAGAAAAGCTGGTCTAAATTTTTTTTTTTTTTTTTTTTTTTGAGACAGTCTCACCCTGTCACCCAGGTTGGAATGCAGTGGCATGATCTTGGCTCACTGTAACATCTGCCTCCTGGGTTCAAGCAATTCTCCTGCCTCAGCCTCCTAAGTAGCTGTGACTACAGGCATGCACCGCCATGCTCAGCTAATTTTTGTATTTTCAGTAGAGACAGGTTTTCACCATGTTGGCCAGGCTGGTCTCGAACACCTGACCTCAAACAATCCGCCCACCTCGTCCTCCCAAAGTGCAGGCGTGAGCCACCGCACCCAGCCAAGCTGGCCTAAAATTTAAAACTGGCAACTAATTGTTTTCACTGGAGGGTTTGTAGCAATAAAATTTTTCACAGAAGTAAATAAAGTGCAAGATATTGTCCTCTGTTGCTGGTGCAAATTAAATTAAACTTACCATAAATTTTTTTGCAATAATAAATGTGTTCAAAATTTTAAAATACAAATTTCTGCCCTCATACATGCAATATATATTTAAGTTCTTCCAGAAAGTAAACAATTCACATTCTATGAAAATACTGAGAAGACAATAATAGTATTATGAATAGACTATTTGTCTCATTAAGAGGCTAAAGGTGGTGGCTGGTGGCTCACTTCTGTAATCCCAGCAGTTTCGGAGATTGAAGCAGGTGGATCACTTGAGGCCAGGAGTTCAAGACCAGCCTGGCTAACATGGTGAAACCCCTATCTCTACTAAAAATAAAAAATTGGCTGGGCATAGGGGCTCATGCCTGTAGTCCCAGCTACTCAGGAAGCTGAGGCACAAGAATCACTTGAACCAGGGAGGTGGAGGTTGCAGTGAGCCAAGATTGCGCCACTGCATTCCAGCCTGGGAGGCAAAGTAAACTTTGTTCAAAAAAAAGAAAAAGCTGGGAAGAATATCTTGAATTAAATATATCTGAAAGGCTAATGTCCCATCCTAGGGTGTGAGTTGTGCATGGGTAGCGTAGGTGTGTGTGTGTTTGTGTCTTCCTGAGTAAGAAATATTAAAATATGTGTCAAAAAAAGATTAGGACAGTAGAATATAGGTAAATTAAGATTTGAATGTTATCACAAACATTCAAATTCAAGGGGTAATGGTTCTGAGAAAAAAGTTTCCAAATCAAGAAAGGCTATGCAGCTGGAAAATTACTCAATTATGTTATACAGTATCCTAAGGAAAAGCAGAATTGTGAGCCTGTAGGGAAGGGACTATATGGAACCCCTGAGATTTACAATGAAAAAATGTGCCTGGGGTATGAATTTGTCTCAAAAAAAAGTATATACTCTGAGGGTTAGGTAAGTAGTCAAGAGGAAAAAAGTTATAAAGAGAATAATGGCAGGTTGACTAGTATGAAGAACCATTACAGGTTGAGTATCCCTAACCCAAAAATCTGAAATCCAAATCTTTTTTGAGCATCATAGGAAATGCTCATTGAAGCATTTCAGATTTTGCATTTTTACATTAGTGATGCTGAACCAGTAAGTATTAATGCAAATATTCCAAAATCTGAAAAAACCCAAAATCTGAAACACTTCTAGACTTAAGTATTTCAGATAAAGGATACTCAACCTGCACTCAAGAAGGAAGAAAAAGGAATGTATGTGTGAGAAGGAAGTTGGCAAATGGGGCTCAAAAAGTTATAGCTGGGTGCAGTGGCTCACGTCTATAATCCCAGCACTTTGGGAGGCCAAGGTGGGCAGATTAAGGGTCAGGGGTTCGAGACCAGCCTGACCAACATGATGAAACCCCATCTCTACTAAAAAGACAAAAATTAGCCAGGCCTGGTGCCATGCACCTGTAATCCCAGCTACTTGGGAGACTGAGGGAAGAGAATCGCTTGAACCCAGGAGGCAGAGATTGCGGTAAGCCAAGAGTTGCACCACTGCACTCCAGCCTGGATGACAGTGTGAGGCTCCCTCTCAAAAAAAAAAAAAAAAGAA